CTAGAAAGAATCAACACCAATGAAAGCAACAAGGAGAGTTTCTGTATTTTTCGTTCGTTCGCAAATACTTTCTCGCTCTTCAGGGTGAAGCCTTCTTGCAAATGCCATCAAAACTCAACGAGTTACGCGGTTTGTCTTTTCCATTGGTTAATGTAATTCAAATTTCGAGCTTTATAATTATTATGAAACTTCGTTTATTGGAAAAACTCAGAACGATCGGTTCTTCTATCCTATGCTATCGAAACATGGAATTCTTATGGAATTCTTATTCGATTTTGTACGGAAAAATACAGAAACTCTCCTTGTTGCTTTCATTGGTGTTGATTCTTTCTAGTTTTTCTTAAACCAATAGAATTTTTAAATTTAGAAAAACGAAAAGGAAGAACCGTACAAAATCGAATAAGAATTCCATGTTTCGATAGCATAGGATAGAAGAACCGATCGTTCTGAGTTTTTGGCCGAGTCTCAATCATCCTATGCAAGACTCATCAATCATTCTCAGCAATGAGCTTCCCATTCCTCAAACTTAGTCTGAATCTTGGTAAATTATTGAGGAAATCTATTTCTTGCCCCAAATCATTGTTGTTTTGTAGCAGTTTTCGTTTTCAATTTTCGCTGAAATAAGTATTGATTGTTTTTGGTTGACAACTGATGACTAAACAAATCGGGCTATTGGCTCTTTGTGAAAAAATGACTGATGGTTTTTTGATAGAAATCATAGTGAAAAACTAGAATAGTTTTAAAAAGGAAAAAATATGGTTGATGTATCAACACGGAAAAATAAAAATTTCTTTATTCAGAAAAATCCGAACAAAGGAAACGCTTTTGAATGGACAGATGGATGGAATGGACGGAAGTTCGGTGGATTTCACGAATTGGTATGGACGGCAACAATTGGTTGATTCGTTTTGAATTCGGGGAAAGGGGAAGGACAAATGGAGGGACGATCCGATAAACAATTGTTTTTTAAGGAAAAGAGCTTTTGAAAGCTCTGAAATTGTTTAGAAAAGCGAACGCCTTCCAACCGACGAGAGATTCTTTTGCTACAGGGCATTCTTTCAAAAGTCATAAGCGTTTAAAGTTTTTTTTAATGAGTTTCAGAAACCAAACCGCGGCATTACAGCATTTGCAGCGGTGGCCGAGTGGTAGTGAGTTAGGACGCAATGGTTCGGCTCTCTGGTTCGATTCCAGCAACTGAAGGTCTTTTTTCCTTTTCTTAGGTTTTAATGCCTTGTGGTACACCATTAATACGGATAAGTAGACCCGCCCGTTTCCATCAAATCGCCACAATTGTTCCTCAATCCCCGCGGCGTAAACAATTTTTCACTTTATCATTCAAAAATTTAGAGCCTTTTTGACATCTCCAACTTCAAAATTCAAAGTTGCTCGAGGTTTCATCATTGTTGATCGTTGTTTTGGCTGTTCTACGTTTTTTAAGTTGGGCGATGGGAAATGGGCGGCCAGTTCTCCTACCTATCAGTTTCGTATCAGTTTTATCTGCAAAAGGAGCTCTCAATTCTGATGAGTTCTTTATGTTCTTTTCTATTTCTGTGGACAAATACCAATAAATCCCTTGAATAAATCTTATTCAATCTTCTGAAAACACACAACTCCACATTATCTTCTTCTTTATTTCTGAATTGTTTGTTCAAAATCTCATATAAAAAGTTTTCCCAAAAACCCAGAATTCCGCCTGAAGCTGCAAGTATTTTGCTCTCTCGTCGCTCCTGAATAGACTATTAGATGTCCGTTAGTGATGTCAAACTGAAAGCAATCAAAATGGATTTCATTCGAAATTCCCCATTCATTTGCCTCGTGATGTTCTCGGCGACGTTTGCGAAGAATTACGTGTAGCTAAGCGAATTTCCTTGTCCAAATCCAAAATCTCTTTGGGCACGACTACCGAGTGAGGAGGTCCGGCGAAAGAGATGCTATTCGAAAATCGCTTTGAGTTTCACAAATATCTCTTTTCAATCAAAGGAGTCCCTATTAGTCCAAATTAACTAGAATAACGGCATAGATCGAAAGCTCGGCGGTGAACTCACCGAAGCGGTGCCTGTCCCCGTGTTCCCAAATCCGAATGTCGATAGATGTGCTCGGATGACATGTTTGTCGGTAATGGTTCAGTAATGACATGGGGTATAAGGTTGACTTGACTTCAAAAATGAATAAGTTTATACTGCTTTTCGCTTGGCGATCTTGGTCCACTGGTCGAAATGAACGGAATAATGAATGCTGTATGCTGAATAATTGATTAGAGAATATAAAAAACTCTAACAATGGTAACTAGGGTTGATGAAACGATATCGACTATGCATACTCGACAAACTCCTCATTCCTGTATCGGTCGATGCTGAAGCTCAGGGTCGCTGTTTTTACTCGCCTCTTTTTATTATCTAACTCTCACTCACCGATCCAAAAGCACATTTTTGACGGTTTTTGAGGCCGTTTCTCTTTTTCTCTCTCAAAGCGTTTCTCTTTTTTAATCGCCATCAAATGACTTCCCAGCCGAGAGATCATGTCTTTGTCGATAGAGGAAAAAGCTCATGCTGTGCGGGTTCTGAAGGAGAATCCTACTTGCTTTTTCATATCCCAACAACGCCTAAACGCAATATGAAGCCACGACAGACTCAAATGAATAATCCCAGCCTCATGAGTTGTAGGTGTACAATTCTGTCCAAATAGACAAACCGTGTAATGAGCGGAATGTGATTCGTGATGATAATATCATTCCATCGATTACTTACAGTCTCTCGTCGAAAAGACCACCTATTGACTGAGGAATCGATTCGTATCGGCCCTAAATGCTGCTCATTGAAAAAGGTAATCTCTGAACAATTCCCACCATTTCTCATTGTGCAGATCGTCTTGAATGCCGGCAAGAAGGGTGAGAAGTTCCTCATCCGTGAACGAAACGAAATGAAACGAACGGCCATCTCGAAATGATTCAGTAGGCGGTCGCGCAGCTGCTCCTAAATTGGTAGAATATAAAACATTTTTGGCTCTTTCCAATTACTAGGTACTTTAACCGTGGAACCCGCTTTTCCTAAATTTTAAGGTACCCGATTTTTTTGAGGTACCTAGTAATAGAAAAGAGCCACATTTTTTTCAAATTAGCCAGAACTCATTCACATGCCCGTTGATTGTTGTGCACAGCAACGTACTTATGAAGGGTTTTATGGACTTCTCAGCGAGCTTTCTGCAACGATATGACTCTTAAAACATTAAATGGAGCGTCAGAAATAATTGTGGATGTTAATTTAAGGAGGGGAAGTTGTTGATTGCGATGAGGAAGAGGGAGAGGGTACTTTTTGTACTTTTTGATATTGAGTGTGTGTCTGTTACCATGTTCTCATCTCAGTTTTTAGCTATAGCGGGAGGAGAGGGGAGTAATGGATTAATCATCATCGGGATCAGGGGAAAATATCGGATTTGCAATTGACTCCTCTCTAATGAAGAAAAATTGGGTCTTGGTCAATGGGTTAAGAGAGAAGGGTCAAAAGCCGGGTTTGATTGAAAGTTCTTGGATAAATCTAGCAAGATCATCAAGACACCAAATCACCCGAGATTCAAAGTGATAGTTGTCTGAAGCTAAGACAATATATACAACAAAAGGATGTCGAGTAGGATTCTCAAGAATCCGTCGTGTCTCACGGTTCACATACATAAAACCTTTGACAGAAGGCTTAGTTAGAAAGTTTTTGAACTTGATGATAGTGGAGATGCTCTGTTAAAATATGTAATCAACAAATTTTGAAGAGAACAAACAAATGAAGTTAGCAAATCATTTCTGATGGGAGAACAACAGCTTCAGAGCCAGGATGGTAAATGGCGGGTCTATCCTTCTAAGTAGTAGGCCGATTTGGTTGACGGAAGGGAGAGAAATCGAGAATTGGAAAGGAAAATCGACGAGACGAAAAGGAAGAACGACGATCTCGAGGCACAATTGTATTAACTTTGAAAAGCAAAAAAGCAAAAAAGAAAAGCATCATGAACAGTGTGAAACTCTGCGTCGATTGGTCTAAGACTCATGTGATTTGGGCAGCACATTCAGTTGACCTTCCCAGAAAGTAGTCTCCTGATTCATTCATCTATGCAGAAGCTAGAGAATCACATCAGTGGATCAAATCGCCGACCTCCCAATCACCGAGGACTGCACTAATTAGGAAGGAAAGATCCTTGATATCGTATCGACAAGCTTCAATGAAAAGAGGCAGTCTTTGCCAGATATAATTCACAAAGGTCCTTGATATCGTATTGTGGATATTTGCTATTTCTGGAGCTGCTCACCTCGCCGAGCAATTGCATGGTCATCACTCCGGGTGCCGTGCTGCCTTTTTAGTCCATTGGCCTCGTGGAAATCTTTGTCGGGCTATAACGACATCAGGGAAATATTTGACTCGGAGAGTTTTCTTTGTCATCAATCTGTGATTTCCTAGTTAAAAAGGGTTTTTAGCTATTCTGTTTCACGATAAAGTTACATATTTACATACATATCAAGCATTCCCCTGAGACACAATATGCCTTGGACATCATCGAAGACCATAAGCTCATAAACAAGCTTCGACTAAAGAAAGCGTCTTTGTCAGATATAATTCACAAATCTATGTGCCACTTCTCCATCTCTGACCGTTTTATTATCTCTGAAATAATTAAAGAATATTGAATGGGGTTTTGCAAAGTGTGGGAAACATGAAAATACCCACATTTTTGTTTCAAGCTCCGCGTTTTATCACTCACCAACTTCACACGAAGTGACGGTTTTATTTTTCCTGAAATGCCACTTTTTTTTTCTGTTTCAAGTGCTATTGGAAGCGATTGTTGCAACGGCTTAATGAGTCAATCGTCGGTTGGAAGGCGATCGCTTTTCTAAACAATTTCAGCGCTCTTAAAGGCTCTTTTCCGTGAAAAAACAATTGTTTATCGGATCGTCGCCTCATTCGTTCTTCCCATTTCCCCGAATTTCAAAACTAATCAACCAATTCAGCGGAACGGGTGTGATGGCCGTCGGTCTAGTCATCACGATTCTCCTTCTTTCTCATCAAATTTCTTCCTCGATCCAACAAAGCGATCAATTGGATCAATTCACGTATTCCTTTCTGGTCAAATAGCTATGTTTTCAACCATTCAGATCTCCGAAAGATCGAGATGAGAATCTGCCTCGTGATCGTCGTACTTTGAAGTTGGTAAAAAAGCGATTTTTCGATGATCTTAGATTCCAGCAGTAAAAAGGATTGTCCGGATACCGTCCTCTTGGGATCTTGTCGAAAAAAAATTGTTGGTTTTTTGGGAGAAAAGCGAAATTGATAGAATAAACAAGAAAGAGGCTTGAGCTGCGTCTCAATGACAAGACTTTTCAGGAATCAAACCGAATCAAAACTCGTCGAGGCTCGAGCAAAAATCTGCGGACTCGAGACGGAAATGTGGGTGAAATCAACAATTCTTGAAAAATTTAAGCTCATCTTTTTCAGCCAATGTGAACAAAAGGAAAGAAGTGATGAATTCATAAAGATCAACTCGAAAATCTCGCAAAGTGATGATCGATCGACGAAGATTGATGCTGATTTGAAAGAGATGTGAGTCTTGAGATCCCTTAAAGAAATACTTGAGAATGAAACACTTCCAGAGATTCCAAAGTCGACGAAATGTCAAGGAACATCTCCACGATAGTAGGCCAAATTCAAACGGATCTAATGGAGAAAATCGCGAAGTTGGAGGCTGCTTTGGTTGACGGAAGGGAGAGAAATCGAGAATTGGAAAGGAAAATCGCCGAGACGAAAATGAAGAACGACGATCTCGAAGCACAATTGTACTAATCTTGTAACTTTCTTTTTGACAAGCTCAATATATAGTTAAAAGGCGAACTTTTTCCAGAAGAACTCAAAATACGGAAGTGAGGGAAGGAAAGGCCAAGATTGGAGAGCTTGACGGGAAAATCAACGCGTTGCAGAACAAGAACTCTGGCCTCGAAACCCAAATGTGAGTTCATTTGGCATCTCTTGTCGACTGAGACTTGAGGAAACGGTTTTTTCACTCCCAAAACACCCATTCCACTAAAACCAATCAACTCCTCTCTAGACAATTTGAAAGGGAAAACAAGACGGCCGAAATTGTGAAGTTGAGGGCGGATTTGTGAGTTTTTTTAAGAAAAAGGATTGAGTATTTGTTTACAAAGTTTGGAGTAAAGTTTTTCGAAGAAATTCAGAAATCGAACGATGTCTTTCTTGGATCTGGATGGATGGTCGTATTTGGCAAAAACCGCTTCTTGGTACAAGGTTTGGTGGATGTTGTGAACCAGGATTATCTTCATCTCAAGGTGATGGGTCAAGACATGACATTTGATCAAGCCGAGGCATATTGTGCGAGTCAAAAGATTCATTTAGTCTCAATTCACAGTCAGGAAGAGAACGATTTTGTTTGGGAACTCGGTAAGAAATCGAAATGATTCGATTCTGCAAATTCATGATTTTCGTAGAAATTTATGTTTTATAAACCAAAAACAATCAGTATTTATTTCAGCGAAAACTCTTGCGGAACGGGGGTTCTGGATCGGAATGAAGGTTGAATTTTTCTTATTGAAAGACCTAAATAAATAAAAAGAAAGTAATGATTCTTTCAGCCATTTTTCAGCCAAGTTTCTCTGTGAAAAAATGAGCCGTTTGACTGATAGTTCTTTGATGGAAATCCGAAATGATAGAAATTAATAGAAATCTAATTTGAATTGAAAAACTAGAATAGTTTTAAAATGGAAAAAAAATTTGGTTGAAATAGCAATAGTGAAACTTAAAAATTTCTTAATTAAGAGAAATCCGAACAAAGGAAATGCTTTGGAATGGACGGATGGAAGTTCGGTGGACTTCACGAATTGGTATCCGAGATACCCGGATTCGAACACCCACGCTTATGTGAGATTTTCAACGTGAAATCATCAATATTTATTCCAATTTCCTATTCATAATTAATCTGAAAATATTTCGATTAATCTGAGGAAATTTCTTTTTGCGAAATACCGCCGATGTTTTATCAAAGGATTTCCATCAGAAATGGACACATTTCAGCTTCAGAGCTACCATGGGAAATGGGCGGTCTGGTCTCCTGCCAATCAGCGTCCTTTTATCTGCAAAAGGAGTTCTCAATTCTGATGAGTTCTTTATGTTCTTTTCTATTTCTATGGACAAATACCAATAAATCTCATTTTATTCAATCTTCTGAAAACACACAACTGCACATTATCTTCTTCTTTATTTCTGAATTTTTTGTTCAAAATCTCTTATAAGAGTTTTCCCAAAAACCCAGAATTCCGCCTGCAGCTGCCAGTATTTTTCTCTCTCGTCGCTCCTGAATAGACTATTAGATGCCCGTTAGTGATGTCAAACTGAAAGCAATCAAAATGGATTTCATTCGAAATTCTCCATTCATTTGCCTCGTGATGTTCTCGGCGACGTTTGCGAAGAATTACGTGTGGCTAAGCGAATTTCTTTGTCCAAATCCAAAAGCTCTTTGAGGCACGAGTAGCGAGTGAATAGGTCCGGCGAAAGAGATGCTGTTCGAGAATCGCTTTGAGTTTAACAAAAATCTCTTTTCAATCAAAGGAGTCCCTATTAGTCCAAATTAAATAGAATAACGGCATAGATCGAAAGCTCGGCGGTGAACTCACCGAAGCGGTGCCTGTCCCCGTGTTCCCAAATCCGAATGTCGATAGATGTGCTCGGATGACATGTTTGTCGGTAATGGTTCAGTAATGACATGGGGTATAAGGTTGACTTGACTTCAAAAATGAATAAGTTTATACTGCTTTTCGCTTGGCGATCTTGGTCCACTGGTCGAAATGAACGGAATAATGAATGCTGTATGCTGAATAATTGATTAGAGAATAAAAAAGCTCTAAAGATGGTAACTAGGGTTAATGAAACCATATCGACTATGCATACTCGACAAACTCCTCATTCCTGTATCGGTCGATGCTGAAGCTCAGGGTCGCTGTTTTTACTCGCCTCTTTTTATTATCTAACTCTCACTCACCGATCCAAAAGCACATTTTTGACGGTTTTTGAGGCCGTTTCTCTTTTTCTCTCTCAAAGCGTTTCTCTTTTTTAATCGCCATCAAATGACTTCCCAGCCGAGAGATCATGTCTTTGTCGATAGAGGAAAAAGCTCATGCTGTGCGGGTTCTGAAGGAGAATCCTACTTGCTTTTTCATATCCCAACAACGCCTAAACGCAATATGAAGCCACGACAGACTCAAATGAATAATCCCAGCCTCATGAGTTGTAGGTGTACAATTCTGTCCAAATAGACAAACCGTGTAATGAGCGGAATGTGATTCGTGATGATAATATCATTCCATCGATTACTTACAGTCTCTCGTCGAAAAGACCACCTATTGACTGAGGAATCGATTCGTATCGGCCCTAAATGCTGCTCATTGAAAAAGGTAATCTCTGAACAATTCCCACCATTTCTCATTGTGCAGATCGTCTTGAATGCCGGCAAGAAGGGTGAGAAGTTCCTCATCCGTGAACGAAACGAAATGAAACGAACGGCCATCTCGAAATGATTCAGTAGGCGGTCGCGCAGCTGCTCCTAAATTTGTGATCAATTTGTGATCCTTTTGCAGATTAGCTCAAGTGCTTAATGATTAGGAAAAACTCTAAAAAGAATAAGGAAAATGGGTAAGCTATCTCAACTTTTGGAGACATAAACAAAGGGTTGCCCCAGAAAAACCAAACCGCAAACTCACCGGAAGAAGTTTAGGTTATGTGTTTGGTGGAACCGAGAAGAAGTTATTTACTGGGAGTTGCTAGAATTAGGGACGACTATCAAGGCATTCCTATACGTTGATCAATGGGATTGAGTCGCTTCTGAAAAGAAAAAAATTAGGCCAAAAATGGGCAAGTTCATTTTGCGACATGATAAAGCACGGCCTACGTTGCAAACTTGATTAAGGAAAAACTGACGACTTTAGACTGGAAAGTTCTCCCGCAAGCGCCGTAGTCGCCTGACTTGATTTTCATCTCTAATGATTTTCATCTCTTCAAGAAGTTGGCTGTTGATTGGGCCAACGAGCACTTTGGAGGTGCTGAGGAAGTCGTAGAGCTGTTCATGCAAATCTTATTGTTCCCAATCCTTTTTGAAAGTTGAGATTAGCTTGAATTAACTTTTGGATTTCTTTGAGACAAAATACCTACAACATAACACTTCTGCACATTAGCTAAAGGAGTTTTTGATTTGCAAGCCCATGTGCATTCGGAGATATGACGAAAGTGGCGAATGCCTGATGGTTCCACGCAAAGTGAAGGAGCTAGAGTTGGGAAATGTTTTAAATGAATAAAATTACAAGTCTGAAACTGACTACTGAAGCGGAATGAGAACAAAATTTATCAGAAAAAGTTCAACACTCACCAATGAGCATCAGGAGAATTGTCCAGAAAAGTTTTTGCATTTTCATTGAGTGTAAGCAATTTTTGACAACTAGCCATTTTAAAGAGGTCATTCGCCTAGTTTGGTCTCGTGAATCGGTCAATTTGCTATTGAATGTCAAGTCTATTCCTTTATCGTTAAGCTAGAATTGGAATGACCGTGCTAGGCTTTGTAGAGCAAGCTTAGGTCAAACTGTTATTGAAAACTCGCTAAATCCAATAAAAAGATCAAATGATTCATTTTTGTTGGCCTTTCACCGCCCCCACGACGAATTTTTGGTAAAATAGTTTCACTTTCAAATGTTTGTGCAAAATGTGATTGAAAATTGCTCTTGGATTAGCAAAAACTTTTTTTATAAAACGAAATCGAAATAGTAGAACGGGTAAAAGGACGAGAAACCATTTTAAAATACTTCAAAAAGAAAGATTCCTTGTCTCGAAGAAAAAAAAGAAAGATTTCTTGTCTCCACACCCGGGAAATCTTTATTCCGCCATTTTTAATTTTTATACAGACAATTTTCATTTTCAACTTTCATTTAATTTATTCCCGAGTACAATTTTTTAGTTTACAGTTTCACAATGAGACTTCTCATCCTGTTCTTTGCTCTTCTTGCTCTTTTCGGCTTAAACGAGGCGTTGATGAACCGGGAAGTCTTTAAAGTTTATTGTAGTTCATAAAACGCTTCTCCCTAGACTTTGAATAGTTTTTAGATTTGCATGGAAATTTGCTTCATGCTAAAATAAAATAGAAATATCATTGACATTTTCAGGAAACGAATCACGAGAGACGATAGGGAGGAGGCTGAGGCGGCCGCTTCGACGAATCTGGGAAAATGGTAGTGAACTTGTGGAATATTCTTCTAACAGATTATGGAATAAACTTTTCGCTCAATAACAAGCTTGAATGAATTTACCGTTTAAGTCCAGATGTTTGATTCAAGACCTTGAATCAAACATCTGGACAAACATAAGTTCACAGTTACAATACGCATTTTTTTCCCTTGCTTCAAAGCAGTAGACCAATCAGAGACGAGTAGGAGACGAAAATTGAATTCTCGCGAAGAATTACCCATTTTCCAATCTCAAAAACGCGTGGAATTGCAAAAAAAAGCATTCTGTAATTGTGAAAATGGTCTTGCTAACGATATGGGAAAAATTCCAAGATATCATCATCGTTTTATTGATAGGATTTGCCTTAATGGGTGAGTTGAATGAAAATGCAAATCAAAACGAATTTAAGGCATCTATTCCTTTTTGCTGTACTTTTTTATGGAAGTTGGGTGGTGTTTGCTGAAAAAACCTATCGGTATTCAGCACTACTTTGTCGAGAATTTTCTGCTGGTACTTGAGAATGCGACAGTTGTGGTAAGGCTTTTGGCAGAGAAAGTCCAATTTCTAACATCTCCAAACGAAAAAAGCTTCCAGACATTTCTAGAAATTGACTCTGTCTAGACATAGGTTCAGCATTTAGCTGTCTATCCAGTCCATAGGTTTAGCTAGGTTTCAAAAGAAGAGTCGACTAAGCTGTGAAAACTAGACCTTGCTGGGTTTAGTGTTAGTGTTGGCTCGGGTTTTAACAGCCAGTTTTCATCAAGATTCATACCAATATCAAGATCAACGACAGCTTTTAGAATAAAATTGTCTATTGGATTCCTGGATTCCTATTTGGAACTCTTTGGATAGCGTAAAACCCTGGCAAAAGTTAAAAGCCTACTTGGCAAACTCAAAAGACAGTTACTGCTTTAATTAACTACTTTTGTATACTAGTACTTTTAAAGATGAGTCCTGGTAGCTATCACTTAGTCCAAGTCTAATTTCAAACACAAAATCGTGACTTTCTCGAAATACAGGGTGAAAACTTCTGTTCCCTCTCCAAGAATCATTTGTACGGCTTGAACCAAGGAAGTTAGAGAAGAACGGACTTCAAATTTGAACATTTTGATTATTTTTACCCTAGAAATGCTTCTTCATAAAAAGATTTTTATTTTGAAAATCCGTTTTTTCTGGCTGAATTGCCCACGAACCCTCCTGGCTTCTTTGACATTCTCTGCCCTTTTAAGCGCTTACAAATGGCGAGCTCTTTACCAATCTGACCGTAAAACGGCTAGTTTTAAAGGAAAATGTTTCTTTTCTTTAATATTTAAAAAACTTGCCTTTATTTTATATTTTAAAATCAATTAGCGTTAGAGGTGGTACCAAAAAAGGTAAATGAGTCCGCAAGTAAGCGAGTCAAAAACAGATTTTCGAAACAAAAGATCTTTTTAAGAAAATTCATTCTTAGGGTAAAAATCGTCAAAGATTTAAAATTTGATGTTCGTTTGTCTCGATTTTATTTGATTTTATCTAAAGGAACGACGAGAGTGGACAGATCTTTTCACGCATTCTGCATCTAAAGTTTTCAGTCATTGGTGCTTTCCCTCTTCACAACTCCTTTAGCCATTTATTCCGCTGCAACCAATGATAAATTAACACTTCCGATCAGGTAAAGATTTTCTTGTTTAAAGGATTTCTTTCTTTCAGACTACTTGCAATCGTCGAAAACTTCAATAAGCTTCTCAATGCAGTGACGGTCACAATTTTTTATTATTGCGAAGTGATGCCTCAGTTTCAGTAAGTAAACCTCGAGCTGTACTTTCAAATGTAATAAACTTTACTTTGCAATATCAAGTACTCAACCTAAGATTTAGCTGCCCTCATCTAATGGTTTTTTGGCTCGCACA